AAAAAAAAAAAAAAAAAAAAAAAAAAAAAAAAAAAAAAAAAAAAAAAAAAAAAAAAAAAAAACACTATCTCTAGTTTCCTCATGTCAGAGAGGTTTGTATTCTTGTCGCCACTGCACAGGGGAAGAAAGAGTTGCTCCAAGCAGTTTCCCCAGCCTGTCCAGGAAAGTGGATGTATCCAGACACGATCCTCTGCAGTGTAAGAGTCCCTGTAAACTTGAACTTCCATTGGTAAGTATCCAGGCTCACAGATGGTTTGGGGATCTAAGCCTTGATTTCAGCTCTGCAGAAGCCAGAAGATTGCATCACTTAAAGAATTCAGGGTCCTGAAGTCAGACATTTCAGGAACTCCAACCCTTCACTTGGGCCCCCAGGGCTGCTTGGCCTGTTCTCTCATTCATCCCTAACACTTGGTGTTTTTCCCGTACACGCCCAACTTGGAAAGCCACTCCCCTCATTCAGCAATCCCTGCCTCAAAAGCAGGCTGCCCTCTTCCCAGCCATCAGACCATGTTTCTCTCCCACGCAAAGGTGACTGTGTCCATCCTATTCCGAATCAGCCAAACTGCTCCACCTCTTGCTCACAAACAGCTTGCAAAGCACCTTCAGCGAAGCGCCTAACAATTTACAACCAGAACGGAGGCTGTCGCTGTGCCTCGGATGCCTCCATGGGGCTTTGGGGCTCATTCATCATCGTCTGGGAAAGCCGCGGGGGCCTCGGCGCGAAGGGCTGGGAGCCTGCAGGGGCCCGCACGGGCAGCAGGGGGCGCCCGCCTCCTCCAGGCCACTCTTCACTGCGGGAATATGGCACCCGACCTCCAGCAGCTGTGCTGACCCCACCCGCTCTGCCACCTGCTCTCACGAACTCCCCAGCTGGGCCACGCCCACAGCCTACGAGGAAGGAACAAACATTCAGGAACAAGTGTCAGATTCTGTGGCAGCACCACTACTATTGTCGCTTTGTTCTGTTTTGACCTGCTTGTGTGCTTGCTTTGACATAATAGGACTGGAGATGGTATGAGGCTGGGAGGATGGCGGGTGCTGCAGGTCGGGGCCTCTCTGCACCTGTCCTTCTGCACACTTGGGATGCGGGGCTGGGCTTTTAGACCTCGCCCCTGGGACTGCAGAGGAAGGGTCCCTTTTGTTGACCTGCCTCACCAATTGGCATTCATAGTGTGGTTGAGAATTCCTCCCGCTAGGAGAGCCCAGAGAAGGGCTCCCGCTACTTGAGCCCTGGTTAGATTGTCTTCAGTAATAAATGCAATTAGTCCAGTTACAGATTTCACATTGGCCTTCAGGGCTAATCTGGAGGGAAGATTATCAAGAGCAGGACTCTGGGCTTGCCTGGACAGTCTAGGATATTCGAATTGCGGTTTCACCAGCTAATATGGAACACAGTCTGCAAACTGTCTTTCCATACCCCGGGGGACTCTGGACTGCAGGAAGCCAAATATACACTTAACAGATATGCACTGAAGGGAGAAAGTGGGCAAGGAAGGTTTGAGACAGCACACCCCTCTCCAGGCATTCTCACTTCTTAATCTTTACCCCTACCTCTTAGGGCAGAAGAACAAGGAAGAGCAGGAGAGTGGAAGAGGGCAGGAGCTTCCCAGGATGTACAGGAACTGCCCAAGAATGATAGCATAGATTTAAAATGTCAAAGAAAGCATAAGTGTGATGCTACAAATCATCTCTACTCCATCCTCAGGACCCAGACATCTCTCAGCAGAGGGTGGGTTCAATTTATGCATGTAAAGGTATGGAAGTTACAATCCTAACTACCCATGCAGCTGTCCCCACCCATCTAATGGAATGTAGAGCTCAGTTGAGATAGGAACCTAGCACGTGCTCAAGTTTGTGACTGATGTTATCGGGGTGTCAGCAGGAAGCAGCTGGCGAATTAAGTTCATTCTAGGAGGGGTCAGTACAGGGACTAAGAAGAAGGTGCTCACTCACAGGGTATATGGAAATCTCAAGGGACAATGCAATATCTCAGAGCTCAAGAGTGAAGCACGCTTACCACCTCTAGGCCCAGGGGAACCAGTGGAGGGAACAGGTCCTGCCGCCAGGGACACAGAGCTGCCTATGGGAATGGAGACCTTCAGGCAGGGGAGGAGTGCATCCAGCTCACAAGGAGAGAGCCTGGCCCTACCCTTTCCCCCTTCCAGGATTCCCCATTGGCCAACCAGAAGCTGGAAGGCAAGGGAGCTGGTTGATGTCTGATAAGGTTTGGCTGTGTCCCCACCCAAGTCTTAACTTGAATTCCCACTTATTATAAAAGGGACCCAGTGGGAGGAAATTGAATCATGGGGGCAAGTCTTTCTTGTGCTGTTCTCATGATAGTGAATAAGTCTCACCAAATCTGATGGCTTCATAAGGGGGAGTTTCCCTGCACAAGCTCTCTCTCTCTTTGCCTGCTGCCATCTATGTAAGACATGACTTGCTCCTCCTTGCCTTCTGCCATGATTATGAAGCTTCCCTAGTTTCGTAATGTGGAACTGTAAGTCCATTACATCTCTTTCTTTTGCAAATTTCCCAGTCTCAGGTATGCCTGTATCAGCGGTATGAAAACAGACTAATCCAGTAAATTGGTACCAGTAGAGAGGAGCACTGCTGTAGATACCTGAAAATGTAGACATGACTTTAGAAATGGGTAGCAGGCAGGGATTGGAACAGTTTGGAGGGCTCAGAAGAAGATAGGAAAATGTGGGAAAGTTTGGAACTCCCTAGAGACATGTTGAATGGCTTGGACAAAAATGCTGATAATGATATGAACAATGAGATCCAGGCTGAGGTGGTCTCAGATGGAGACGAGGAACTTGTTGGGACTGGAGCAAAGGTGACCCTTGTTGTGTTTTAGCAAAGAGACTGGGCATTTTGCCTCTGCCCTAGAGATTTGTGGAACTCAGAACTTGAGAGAGATGATTTAGGGTATCTGGTGGAAGAAATTTCTAAGCAGCAAAGCATTCATGAGGTGACTTGGGTGCTATTAAAGGCATTCAGTTTTATGAAAGAAGCAGAGTTTAAAAGTTTGGAAATTTTGCAGCCAGACAATGCAATAGAAAGGAAAATCGTATTTTCTGAGTATAAATTCAAACCAGCTGCAGAAATTTGCATAAGTAACAATGAGCTGAATGTTAATCACCAAGACAATGGGGAAGATGTCTCCAGGGCATGTCAGAGGCCTCTGTGGCAGCCTCTCCCATCACAGGCCCAGAGGATTAGGGGTAAAAATGGTGTTATGGCCTTGGCCCAGGGTCCCTCTGTTCTGTATAGAAGAAGACAGGAAAATGTGCAGTTTAGGGACTTGGTGCCCTCCATCCCAGCCACTCTAGACGTGAGTGACTAAAAGGGGCCAACGTATAGCTCAGGCTGTTGCTTCAGAGGGTAGAAGCAACACCTTGCCAGCTTCCGCATGGTGTTGAAACTGCACAGAAGTCAAGAATTGAGATTTGGGAACCTCTGCATAGAAGAGGATGTATGGAAATGCCTGGATGACCAGACAGAAGTTTGTTGCAGCAGAGTGGGGTGGGTGGCACTCATGGAGAACCTCTGCTAGGGTAGTGCAGAAGGGAAATGTGGGGTTGGAGTCCCCACACAGAATCCCTACTCAGGCACTACCTAGTGGAGCTGTGAGAAGAGGGCCACTGTCCTCCAGACACCAGAATGGTAAATCCACTAACAGCTTGCACCATGCACCTGGAAAAGCCACAGACACTCACTGCGAGCTCATGAAAGCAGCCGGGAGGGAGGCTGTACCCTGCAAAGCCACAGGGACGGAGCTACCCAAGACCATGGGAACCCACGTCTTGCATCAGCATGACCTGGATGTGAGACATGCAGCCAAAGAAGATCATTTTGGAGCTTTAAGATTTGACTCCCCGCTAGATTTCAGATTTGCATGGGGCCTGTAGCCCCTTCATTTTGGCCAATTTCTCCCACTTGGAAAAGCTGCATTTACCCAAAGCCTACACCCCCATTGTATGTAGAAAGTAACTGACTTGCTTTTGATTTTACAGGCTCATAGGCAGAAGGGACTTGCCTTGTCTCTGATGAGACTTTGGACTGTGGATTTTTGAGTTAATACTGAAATTAGTTAAGACTTTGGGTAACTGCTGGGAAGACATGATTGGTTTTGAAATGTGAGAACATGAGCTTTGGGAAGGACTGGGGCAGGATGATGTGGTTTGGCTGTGTCCCTACCAAAGTCTCATCTTGAATTCCTACATGTCGTAGGAGGGACCTGGTAGGAGGTAATTGAATCATGAGGGCAAGTGTTTCTTGTGCTGTTCTCATGATCATGAATAAGTTTCACGAGATCTGCTAGCTTTATCAGGGGAGCGTCCCTAAGCAAGCTTTCTCTTTGCCTGCTGCCATCTATATAAGACATGACTTGCTCCTCCTTGTCTTCTGTCATGATTGTGAGGCTTCCCTAGCCATATGGAACTGTAAGTCCAATTAAACCTCTCTCTTTTGTAAATTGCCCAGTATTAGGTATGTCTCTATCAGCAGCATGAAAATGGACTAATACAGTATCCATCCAGGTCAGCATCTTGGAGCACAGAGCAGGGTGGAGACTGGATCTGAAGGGACAAGTTAGGGGTGCGTCCAGAACAGAGTTTAATCATTTTGATATCAGACTCGCGGCCACATGGATCCTCTAGCATTATGCTGGGCATGGCGTTTGGGACAACAAGGAGACATCCATGAGTAAAATAAAGGAATTTCTATTTCTACTATTCCTCCTAGGCAATCCTGGTCTGGGATCCTTTGTCCTCTGCATGTATTGGCTTTATGTTCAGAGTCACCTGGAGAAAACTTACAAAACCAGTAAAAGATAAGCTCAGGAGACTCTCCCCATGGGGACATCTGGACCTGAGACCCACCTTGGTCTTCAGCCTTGCTCCAGATACAGGGCCATCTCTTAGCAAGGGCTACTGTGGAGTTGTTTCCCACAGCCTCAGTTCCTTCCAAGGAGCCCTCTTCATCCTCTCAAGAGACCAGAGACTGGCTGGGACAAAACCTCAGAGATGAGGCTAACATGGGAAAGTACTAATCATGTGGCTATTTGACAAAACAGTAGAAAGACAATCTTGTTTTCAAAAAGCGTATTAACCCAGAATCACAAGGGACTGTATTTTAAAATAATAGCAAAAAGAATGAGTCAAAATATACAAAATCACTTGTAACCCACTTGTATCTGCATTTTTTCCCCTTTCAGATGCCTTGTGTTTATATTCAATTAAGTTGTGTAAGGTGAATTCGATGCTTTGTTTGGTTTTACATAAGCACTTGGTTTGATTTATTCATCTGGCTGGTGGTGTGTTTCTCTGGGAGTTCCTATTTACTGATCCTAAGGCTCAAGCATCTATTATAACTGCTAACTAACAGCCCCATCTTGCCACCCGTGGCAATAAATAAAGAGCAGGCACAGTCCAGAGAGGGCCTAACAAGTCCCTGTGGTCCTTTTCACCAACAGAGATGAGCAGGATATAGAAGGGAGCAAAATAAAAAACAATTCTTAAGGATAAGAAAGTGAACAAGGGCAATAATGAAGAAGAAGAAGAAGAAGGAAAATGAAAGAGACAGAAGAAGAAAGGACAATGAGAAGGAAACCTGTGGACAGAAGTGAACAGTTCAAATCGATTTATTCTAGTGAGCTGTTTCTCCAAATGCCTATGATTCCTCAGGTCCTCCTGATAATATACCAGAGAAGCCAAAGGGTGGAAGGCCACCAGAGGTGGGACAGCCAGCACAAGTTTCAACGTGTGCATACCTGAAGGTGAAACTTTGGCATGTGGCAGGATTGTCGTTGATGTCTTCCACAGTGAAGGTTATCTGGATGCGATTCTCCTGACCCCCATATGGCCTGTCCTTCACCAGAACTTCCAGGGAAATGGTGGGATTCTGTCTCAATTCACCTGCATCTCGGTCGATCCTCTGGGCCACGTGGATTGCACCAGTCACTAAGAAAGCAAAGGTTAGAATGTGACCCTTTGAAGAGAAATGAAAGGAATACAGAAACTTGGAGAAACCTGGAAAAGACCATTCTAATAGCAGGAAGAGCTTATGCAGAGCATAATCTCTATACATTTTTGAAAACCCATGAAGTTCTTGTGTTAGTCATTTATTGGGGTATCTGGCCTGATCCTTCTAGGAATTTTCACACTGCACTTCAGAGTTGGGTCCCCGGGGGCAGCCCTTGCCCATAGTAGGCTGGTCTGGTAGATAGCTGACTCCAGCTTGACCCACAGGGCTCTCTTATTGAAGCTTTTTTTTTTTTTTTTTTGAGACGGAGTTTCACTCTTGTTACCCAGGCTGGAGTGCAATGGCGCGATCTCGGCTCACCGCAACCTCCGCCTCCTGGGTTCAGGCAATTCTCCTGCCTCAGCCTCCTGAGTAGCTGGGATTACAGGCACGCACCACCATGCCCAGCTAATGTTTTGTATTTTTAGTAGAGACGGGGTTTCACCATGTTGACCAGGATGGTCTTGATCTCTTGACCTCGTGATCCACCTGCCTGAGCCTCACAAAGTGCTGGGATTACAGGCTTGAGCCACTGCGCCCGGCCTTATTGAAGAATTTCTGACTGAAAGACACACATTGGAGGCTCAGCCAGGCTAATAGTGGAGCTACAGAGCTGAGGTCCCTAGAGCAGCACTGGGTCACATCCTTCCTGTGCCCCCATCTTTTGACATTTCCTTAGGATATGCCCCGAATCCTGTTGATAGATGTCCCTGCCTTTTTTTTCCCCTTTTGGTGAGCATGGTTTGCCTTAGTTTCTGTTACCTGCAACCAAAGAATCTTAATAAATATGCTCAAAAATTAAAAAAAAAAAACTCTCTCTACTTGTTAAAAGTTGAATTTTGCAACACTAGAGTAGACAGCATTCTCAACCATGGTTGTCCCTACACTCTCAGCTGACAGGACTTTAGGACGTTTTCAGAGGCAGTGCTCAGTTATTGCCTTTGCCTGCGTCTCCTGGGAATAGGTATCCTTTGCCCAAAAGCCTAAGGAGCCAGTAGCACATTTGTGAATTGTCCAAGGCTGAAGTCCTTTTTGGTGATGCAATTAGGACTTACAGGGGTGGGACAGTCTGGTAGTGGTTAAGAGGACAGGCCCGAGGAATCGGGCAGCTTAGGTTGGTACTTCTGCTTCATGACCTACAAGCTCTGAGACTTTGAACAAGTTGTTTAACCTGCCTGAGGCTTTCCCTAGGCCTCAGTTTCCTCATCTGTAAAATGTGAATGATGATAGTTCATGGAGTTACCATCTTGAGTACTTGAGATGAGATACATGTGAATAATCACTCAGCATAATGCCTGGTATGTACTAAGGCCCCAGTAAAAGATCGTTATAAAAGAGAAGGGGAATTCCTCCCCTTCAGAGATGGGAAAATAACTCCCAGCAGTCTGGCAGATTGATCTAGAATGACACTGTCCCATACAGTTACCACTAGTCACATGAGAGTTATTGAGTGATTAGATGGTGCTAATCCAAATTGAGATGTACTGTAAGAATAAAACATACAACAATCTTCCAAGACTTGGTACCAAAGAAAATGATATGAAATACCTCATGAATATTTTTTTTTTTTTGAGACGGGGTCTTGCTCTGTCTCTCAGGCTGGAGTGGAGTGGAATGATCATAGCTCACTGCAGCCTTAAACTCCTGGGCTCAAGAGATCCTCCTGCCTCGACTTCCTGAGTAGCTGGAACTATAGGTGTGGGTCACCACACACAGCTAATTTTTTAGTTTTTAGTAGAGACAGGGTTTCACTACATTGCCCAGGCTGGTCCCAAACTCCTGGGCTCAAGCAATCCTCTGGCCTCAGCCTCTCAAAGCACTGGGATTACAAACATGAGCCACTATGCCTGGCCATAAATAACTTTTAAGTATTGATTATGTTGAAATGATATTTTATACACGTTGAGTTAAATAAAAATGCCTCATTGAAATGAGTTTCTCCTATTTCTTTTTACTTTTTAAAAATGTGACTACTAGAGACTTTGAAATTATATAAGTGACTTCATTCTATTCCTATTGGACAGTGCTGAGATAGCTTCTCTCTTCAGAAGACTAAAGGGTACTCTCAGGATAAGTAACCCATCCATCCTTACACACCTGCCTTTGAGAAAAAGGTGATGGGATTCAGGACACATTACCCTAAAATATGGCACCTTGCATTTGAGGAAACAGCAGAAGCAGGAAGTTTTCTCTGACCTTCTCCTGCCCTTCTTCCCAAAGCAGACCATAAAAGAGCTCTCTGGCTTTCCTTTGAAGCAGTCACAAGACCTTCATTCCAGAGGTATCCTACCTATACCTAGAGGAAAGGCACATCCTATTCGGGAAGACAGAGATGCTAGGAAGAGTCTGAACAAATGGGGCTTGCTAAACTCCCCCAGGTTTATTATCATTAGATCATACCCTTCTGTCCTCCAATCATACTTCTCCATAATTACTCGCTTCATCAAACTGAGCTTAAAACACATGGGTTTCCCTGTTTGAGTCTTCATTTCTGAAGGCTCTGGTGTAACATAAAACTTACATTAAATAAATTTGTATGCTTTCCTATTGTTAATCTGTCTTTTTTATAGAGGTCTCAGTCACAAACCTAACAATGGGTAAGAAAATAAATATCTTCACCACCACCCCAGCTCCCACAAAGGTGAAGGGGGACATAGTTGTCAACCCTGTTTCGCTTCCCCAACCCCCATGCCAGCTGCTTTTCATGCATCTATTACCTTGGTAACCAATGATGACCCCAGACAGAAAGACATGCCCATACCAGGAGATAAGAAAAATACAGTCAGCCCTCTGTATCCATGGGTTCTGCGTCCTCAGATTCAACCGAGGATTAAAAATATTCAGCAAAAATAAATGGATGGTTGCGTCTGTACTAAACATGTACAGACATATTTTTTCTCATCATTATTACCTAAGCAATACAATATAACAACTGTCCACACAGCATTTACGTTGTATCGGGTAGTATAAGTAATCTAGAGATGATATAAAGTATATCATCTCTAGTATGGGGGGACGCACAAAGGTTATATGCAAATACTATGCCATTTCATAGAAAGACTTGGGCGTACGTGGATTTTGGTATCCACGGTGCATGCTGGAACCAATCCTCATGGGTATCGAGGGATGACTGCATTGTAAAACAATCCAAATGGCTGAATTAGAGGGTGCACTTAAGGATGGAGGTGAGTGGCTTACACTGATTTATCATGAAATATTTGCTAACAGTGGTAATGCTATAGAGGAGGTGGCTGGGAAGACCTTCCTCGTCAGGATCCTCCGCTGTGATATTGGCCACGATGGTTCCGGGACTCAGTTCCTCCAGGATCGTGTACACTCGTGTCGGGCTGTAACAGAGATACAGCAGACACAGCTAATTTTCAGGGGCACAGCAGACACAGCTAATTTTCAGGGGCACAGGAAGGTGGCATCTAGGCGATGGGTATTTGGGTTAGTCCTAAATATAGTGCAGAGCTGTTCAAGTTGCATCAACATGCTCAGCGGGAGAGCACAGCAGCGGAAAGGAGCGTGGCTGGCTTTTGTATTCCCAAAGATCACATCCCTGTGGATGCGAAGAAAGTACCGCACTGCCGTTGCAACGATTTACATGGGCCACCACGGTCTCCGACTCTCCGCACATCTGCCTGATGTCATTTCAGATCAGCCTTGGCATTAACGTCTTTTGAAATAAGGAGAGTTGGCCTATCCGGCTCTCTTTTCTCATTTTCCCACTTTTTGTGCAGATTTCCCTGAATTCTTTTAGAAATCACTGTGTCCAGAGTTACATGCCAGGGTCATGTTCAGAGCTGTGGGTTCCCTCCCTTGTTCCTGACTCCCATCCCTTGGCTGCCACCAGAAGCCAGAAATGCTGTAAAGCCTCTCTATTCTCACACCTTTGCTCACTTTTTTTTTTTCTTCCTTGTCCTTTTCTTTCTTTTCTCTCTTTTTTTTTTTTTTTTGCCTGAGGATACAGAATTTATGCACAGAAATTGCACGCATTAATCATGAGGTCAGCTCTCTGGACTGAGAACTAGGTCCTCTGGCAGAAGACCAGGTCCCATAACTGTCCTCCTTCTTGCAAGATAACCCCAAATCACCAACTTACCCATCTTCCTCAGACCTCGACCAATGCCTTTGGAACAGGCCAGTAATGAGACTGATAAGTTGGGAGTTTTAACTAACTATATATTGAGTAATTTTGAATGCTCTAAGGGAGGCTTATTCTTTAACTCTGCAGGAAGTCCTTCTGCTGAGGAAAATCATTTCAGTGGGGCAAATAATCACCTCTAATCTCCCAGTTTCCCAAGTGGAGGTGTTCCCATGGGGGATCGTTTTTGAAAGAGGTATAGTACCTCTGACATCTAAGTGACTGCACTCCTTTCGTAAGCTCAGCATGTTTCTGCTATGCTAGCTATCTCACCAACCCAATAAGGTAGGTAGGGCCAGAGGAAGGAGAGATGGCAGGGAACCAATCGCTAGAGTCAGGGGCAGACAGAGAAAGGCGGGAACCAGGTCCTCGCCCTGACCCTCCCTACGAGGGCTCTTCCCTGGATCCAAGGTCCCCCCACAACCATTCACAAGGTGGTCTTCTGTGGGTATACTCCATTGCTGGGGGAGAGTAATCATGTTCAGCCTAAGGTCACTCCGGTACCCCACTGACACAGGCCCATTCATCCTTCCCTTACTGGGTACACCTCTTTCTCAGGGAGTCTGTGACTCAGCTGTCACTGCTGAGTCCAGAAATAGGCAAAGTGGGATGGGACCAAAAAGGTGGGGTGGCAGGAGGCAAAACCAGAGCCAGGAGGGGAGGAGGTGGCCGCAGCCCCCCAGGCGGGACAGTTCCTCAGTCCCTTCTGTGAACGTCCCTGTTGCTAATGCGTGTTTTTGCTTTGGTCATTTACTAGGTTCTGTTAACTTCCAACAAAGAGCCCACTAAGAGGCCTGTGCTACTCGCATGGCTATGAGCTACTCCAAGCATGGTCCTAGAAAAAGCATCTCCAGGGAGCTGGTTAGACATGCAGACCTCAGGCCCACGCACCCCAGCCCTTTGAACCAGGACTGGCGTTTCACAAAATGCCCAGTGGATCTCTACAGGCTTTAAGGTTTCAGAAGGATGATTATAAGGTGATGCCAGAGGTGGCAACCACAGCCTCCCAGCCTCCCAAAGGACAGAGAGAGGATACGTAGGGAGGAAAGGCCCCTTCTTCCCATCACCCCTTTTTTTTCCTTCTCAGGCAGCGGTTCTGAGCTAGGGGTGGCATCTGAACACACGTTTGATTTTCATAACAAGGGGAGAGAGCTGCTATTGATGTTTAGGGGATAGAAGCTGGAGATGATGTTGCTACACATCCTCCAGTGCACAGGACAGCCCCTCTGCAAAGGGGTGCCTGGCTCAATGCCATCAGTGCTGCTGTGTAAGAAACTCTGCTCTAACGGCCGGGCGCGGTGGCTCACGCCTGTAATCCCAGCACTTTGGGAGGCCGAGGCGGGTGGATCACAAGGTCAAGAGATCGAGACCATCCTGGTCAACATGGTGAAACCCCGTCTCTACTAAAAATACAAAAAATTAGCTGGGCATGGTGGCGCGTGCCTGTAATCCCAGCTACTCAGGAGGCTGAGGCAGGAGAATTGCCTGAACCTAGAAGGCGGAGGTTGCGGTGAGCCGAGATCGTGCCATTGCACTCCAGCCTGGGTAACAAGAGCGAAACTCCGTCTCAAAAAAAAAAAAAGAAAAAGAAACTCTGCTCTGAAGGCTCATCTAGTCCACACTGGGTGCTCCAGGAACCCAGATCCCCGAGACAGGAACTGGTCAGGCTCTTGGCACAGCTCCTCAGGTGAAATATTCTCTCCGGATTAGCCTGACATTGAGCCTGGCAGGAGATAAAATCTTTAATCTATTTAATTTTTGAATCCAAGATACAGGTATGTATAAAATATCATTCAACATAGACCACAGTTAAGAGCTATGCAAAGCACAGTGAAGCCAGGAGCCATGCAGCCAAGCTCTCCACCACCTGCATTCTCACACCTTTCTTCCCAGAAACACCTGACCTCCAGAGCTTGGGCCAGCAGCCACACTCAGGGGGAAAGGTGTAAATGCTGGGAAGCCACGGATGGCTTCATTATGAATGAGTTTTCAGTAAGTGCCTAAGGTGTGCATGACACTGCCAGGCATCAGGTGGAAAAGGACTGAGTAAATACAAAAGAAACGGACAGGAGGGGAGAAAGACCTGCCTACCCAACTCTAAAATAAAGTGCTCTGCACACATACAAGCTCTGTGCATGGGAAAACAGTAAATTTGTCAGCTGCTGGGCTTTTTGGTTTTGTTTTTGTTTTGACACGGAGTTTTGCTCTTGTTGCCCAGGCTGCAGTCGTGCGATCTCGGCTCACTGCAACCTCCGCCTCACGGATTCAAACAATTTTCCTGCCTCAGCCTCCTGAGTAGCTGGGACTACAGGCACCCCTGCCACTATGCCTGGCTAATTTTTTGTATTTTTAGTAGAGATAGGGTTTCACCATGTTGGTCAGGCTGGTCTCGAACTCCTGACCTCAGGTGATCCACCTGCCTTGGCCTCTCAAAGTGCCGGGATTACAGTCGTGAGCCACCATGCCTGGCCTGTCAGCCTGTCAGGTGCTTTTATAATAAAACACTCAACTTCAATAATAGCAGACTCCTGGAGCTCGCATCCTGATTCTATAAAGCTTTCCGACATTTGTCACCACCCAGGGATAAAAAGGGGAGACAGTCTCAAGAACAGACACAGGATTCGCTTTGGTTGTGTTAATTGAAGGAGTTTAACAAATAGTAAAGATAGAAAGACTGTCTCTGTGCTTTACATTTCTATTTCACACTCAAGCTCAGTACACTTGAGTCTGTTTGAGGATTTAATTTTGTTAATCCTGAATTAAAGAAGTTATCGTTAGTGCTAGCACTGATTTATGGGTAAAGGAGGATCAGAAGCTCAGGGGAACCATGAAAGCCCTCCACATTAGCACTTAGTTTGAAACCGAGCAAATCCTTTCAAATTGTGGATGGCTGAAGGATGAGGCTGACTCTCATTGGCTGCCTGCGCCAAGTCAGGGCTGCCACCCTGCCCCCACTCCTTCTTTTAGGGTGAGGCTCTAGCAGACCCATCTTTACCTTCATCCAAGGAATGCTGTTTGAAATAAAGTTGACTGACCAAAAAATACAGATTTTCACACAGATCATGCTGTCTGCCTGGGGATGGAGCCCGATATGTTCCTCTTTCAAACCTAAAAGGAGAACCAGAGAGTTCCAGGCTGACCTCTGGGTACATCCCAAGCCAGCACGGGTCATGTTTTCTCTCTGCTAAAGTCAGTTGCTGTATTTTTGAAGATGTGGTCCAAACCAGATGGTTTACAAGTTCTGTCCCTGGGGAGTTCTTATTATTTTTCCCTTTGCAACCCCATTAACCTGCCTCCCCTCCTCACAGATGGGGCTTGTGGGGAAGGTGGCAAAGAATGTGTCTGCTCCAGCGCTCCAGTCATCGCCTCCTCTGGGGGCTCTTGAAGAATCTGCAGAGCTGTGTGGTATGCCTGAGCATGAGTCTGGACTGGGATGTCACAACTGTTAATGAGCTGCCTGGACTTTGCTCCAAGAGCCACCTGTCAGCTTAAAGTCACTGTGCTCTCCTTCTGAACCTAACCCAGCTTGAGGTGCTGATGGAAAGCATTATGTAGCAATTCAATTGCAGCAGGTAACTTGAGGGTCAAGGTTGGAAAGAGGAACGTATTGCGGCTCCATCCCCAGGCTGTGGGGCTGGAGCAGATGCATTCTTTGATACCTGCAACTGGACTGTGGACTGTGTTTACATCCAGAAGTTGTGCAACTGTGGTGCGTGTGCCAAGTGGCACCAGGTTACATTGCGAATGCAGCTGCCTTAATACCTCCCAATCTTGGAGTACTGTTGCAAGCCCTCTACCTAGCTCTGAGGACTAATGGTCTTTTATTGGTGGAGTGTCCTGTGCTGAATCTATTCATAGCCATTCATGCTGTTAAAGGTGATTTTGCCACTTTCCTTGTGGCTGGCTCCTGTGCCCATCTCAGGGACTGGGGAAGGCAGAGGCTCTGTAAGCAGTATGCTAGGAGAACTGCCAGGGAAACATTCCATGTGAGAGAATCAAACTTTGCTGACATTACTTTAAAATGGGATGGGGAAAAACACGGAGTGGGAGGAGTGAGGGCAGAGCCTGCCCCTTCCAGCTCAGAATCCCCCCTTCTCCTAAATCCCCATCTATGATAGGCTCAGATCTTCCTTTTGTGTCAGGTGCCAGGCACATTTCCACAAACTCCCCTCCACCTGACGCATTTACCCTTCCCACCTCTGCTGGACGGAGGAGCTGCGAGACACAGTCGGATGACTTTTCTGGATCCACCATGGAAGGAAGAAACTTTAGAGCACCCAGTAATGGGCAGGCACCATGAAAACAGCCCTCTCCTCAGTGCAAGGATGACACGCCAGGAGGGAGACGTGAGTGATGACACGTGATCTGGGACTCTGCATCATCACTGTTACTAACGTGCAGTTACTATCACTGTCACCAACGTGCAGCCACGGTCACTGTCACCAACGTGCGGCCATGATAACTGTCACTAACGTGGCCACCGTCACTGTCACCAACGTGCGGCCACCATCACTGTCACTAACATGTGGCCACCATCACTGTCACCAATGTGCGGCCACCATCACTGTCACCAACGTGTGGTCACGGTCACTGTCACCAACGTGCGGCCACCATCACTGTCACTAACATGTGGCCACCATCACTGTCACCAACGTGCAGCCACCGTCACTGTCACCAACGTGCAGCCACCAGCCACCGTCACTGTCACCAACGTGCAGCCACCGTCACTGTCACCAACGTGCAGCCACTATCACTGTTACGTGCGGCCACTGTCACTGTCACTAATGTGTGGCCACCATAACTGTCACTAACGTGCGGCCACCATCACTGTCACTAATGTGCATCCACTATCACTGTTACATGCGGTCACCATCACTGTCACTACACCATCACTGTCACCAACGTGCAGCCACCGTCACTGTCACTAACGTGTGGCCACCGTCACTGTCACCATGGTGCGGCCACCATCACTGTCACTAACGTGCAGCCACCGTCACTGTCACTAATGTGTGGCCACTGTCACTGTAACCAACGTGCGGCCACTATCACTGTTATGTGTGGCCACTGTTACTGTCACTAATGTGCGGCCACCATCACTGTCACTAACGTGCGGCCACCATCACTGTCACTAACATGCAGCCACCATCACTGTCACTACACCATCACTGTCACCAAGGTGTGGCCACCGTCACTGTCACTAACGTGCGGCCACCATCACTGTCACTAACATGCGGCCGCCATCACTGTTACTGATGTGCAGTGCTTTATTATAAAAGCACCCTCTGCGTGTGCAGTGGCAGGCCCCACACCCAGGCATGTGTCAACCCCTCCTCCCCACAATACCCCAAATCCCGCGGTGCCTGTGAATGTGGGGGTACAGGCGGCAGAGGCAGCAAAGGTAGAAAACAGCAGTCCAGAGGGCCAGACAGAGACTTTGAAGAGCTCGCACCTCTAATCTCTCCTGCAGGCCAGAGCAAAGGGCATGTCTCTGCCTTGTATCAAATGTGTCAGAGGGGACAAGGTGGCCTAAAAAGGATATGCTGGCAGCCCAGGGAGTCCTGCATGCCTTCAGGCCTACCTGGTAAAGTGAGGGGCTTCGTCGTTGAGGTTCACAATGTTCACCTGGATGGCCGTGGAGGCCCCGAGGCCGCCGCTGTCCCTCACCTCCACGATGAGGTGGAAACTGCCAGGAAACATTCCACATGAGAGAGTCAAGATTCACTGATGCTACCTCAAGATGGGATGGGGAAAGACATGGGGTGGGAGGAGTGAGGGCAGAGCCTGCCCCTTTGGTGGTGACCCTCTCCATAATGCCCCCACAGTCTCAGGGCCTGCAGGGCTACCGTTCTCTCCCCGCCCCTGAACCCACTGGCTGCTTCTCATTCTGCAGTGGCTATTGACCACCATCATCCCACCAGGCCAGCGTCTGCTCAAGCACCATGCTGCACCCTCTATTCTGGTGTTTCTCGCAAGATCTCTGGAATGTGCCTATCACTCCCACAGGAGGGAGAAAGGCTCCCACGGCTCCCATGTCTAGCTCTTGTTCCCATGCCCGGTGCAGAGCCAGGAGCCTCACCTGCTTCACCCCAAGACCAACGTATTTTCATCCACAAGGCCTGGACTTTCCCGGAGGCCTGCTCACCCCACATCATTGCTTTCCCCTCATCAGCCACTTTGCTTGGATGGCTGCCTCTCCCAAACAACATGGGTTCTGGGAAACCTTGTATAGATCACCCTTAACATTAGTGACTCCATCTTAGAAAAAGGTGCCATCTTACATTTCAAAAGGCATCAAGCCAACAGGGTCCAGATGTTCACCTAATCAAGAGAGACAACACTCAACTAGGTGAGGGCATAATCCTATACTACCAGTCTTCACCAGAGGACCCAAGGACCATAAAATGAGCAGGACTTCACTGGCTCGACATGGCCATCTTGACGGACCCTGTCTTGCTGTCACTTGTGATCTTCACCCAGCATCTGCCCAAATCAACAACCTTTCCTTACAAGACATTGATGACCTTGGATGTGACAAAGACACTCTCCTTATCCACATCACTGTCCTTGGTCGGGCTTATTAACTTCTTTTTCCTACTCCCTTTTCTCATGGTGTTAAATGTTACTTGGATGTGGAATGTTTATAACATGTATGTATTGATGACATATCTATGTTTGGTTTACAATACTGACCGACCTGTGGAGTGGCTTAAGCCTGTATGCTCTGACTATTGTGTCAACCAGAAGTCTAAGGAGAGTTGCCTTCTTGGGAATTCCATGTAGTTCATGGCTTTTCGGATTGAAATAGCATCTGTAAAAATATGACCTTATGGAAAGATGAAAATGTGCACCGACCTGGAGCTCCAGTGGCACAATCGGTTAGCGCACAGTACTTACACGGCAGTACATGCAGAAAATGTGCATGGACCTGGTTACGTCTGACCTTGCACTGCTCATGACACTCCTGTACTGGGGCACCATCTCCCATACTGTCGTTCCTGTTCTCTAGAGACCAAAAGACGACTCCCAGACAATTGCCTTATTCCCCGTCCCTCTCTGGGATTCACCACCATCTGAACTTACAATGAGGCTGTAGACCACTCAAAGGCCCCCCCCAACTGCCCTCAGTTTGCACTGTGACCTGTCCCTCATGTTTTCCTTGACCCTCAGATAAACGGTACTTCAAGCAAGGTCAGTAGCCAGGCTACCTGCTGGGTCCTGCTTCAAAGTCCAATTCTGTTGTGGAGAAGAGGGTGCCGTTAGCAGACATTCCGAAGCTCTTCGAGGGAGAAATCAGGAAATACTAAAAAACAAGGGGAAAATGTTGATAAAATCAGCCCACCTGCCCACCCTTCCCCAGAAGATGTATGCTCAACTCTTGTTTTATATTCTTAGCCCATGAAATGTTCCTGATGCATCAGGATGAGGTTCAAATGAGCAGTTACCCAATTTAATCGCTCTTGAATCCAGAAACTTCTGGCTTTGTTGGTCTGAGCCCTGGTTGACCACACCCTGAAGAGCTGGTGAGTAGATCCTGCTCTAACTACAGAAAGTATATAAAAGGCCCCTGTCAAGGCAGACTCTGCTACTGAGTCCAATCTTCTTATCCCTATCAGTGTGTTCTCACTTCTTCTGGACAACTTCTGGCTTTGATTCTATGCCTTGGCTTTAACCAACACTGTTTAAATACACCTACTACCCAGTAGGTAATAGGACTATATCAAAATGAGTAGGATGCGATCACTATCCTTACAAACAACTTACAATATAGCAGGGTATAAAAATGTGCACGACCAACACTCATTGAAATGAGTGAAGGAAACAGGGACAAGGGTGAGCGGAGAATGAAATGTGGCAGAGCCTGCCGTTCAGGCTGGAAGCTGCTTTATGGATATAGAAGAACTGTTTTTATATCTAATTCCTGGCATGTGGGCCATTGGGAAAGTCATTCCCACATCTTTGTGTAGTTGAGAGTCTTTGTCATCCTTGGCTCCCAGCCCAGCTCTCTTGATGACACCTTGCCCAGAGCTCCTTGATCTGATAGGAAGAGACAGGTTTATGTGTACAGCCCACTGAGGACCAGTCCACAGGAGGACCTTGCCTGTGCCACCCATGGGAACTCATCACAACTGCTCTGTTTCTCCCACAATGGAATAAGAAAACAGGCGAAGAGCCTGGATCAGAAGAACTGGGTTCAGGGTCCAAATT